TTAAAACATACATCCCTCAGATTGTTCTATTGGAATTTAAAATATCAAAGGATAGGTTTCAAAAGAACGGCTTATTTAAAGTTGACAAAGATTCCCTTTCACCTCTCTTCTGATGTTCGGAATGCCCTGAAAAGTAACAAGGTGAGAGGTAGAAATTTTCGGCTTTACGACTGCATTGTGGCATGAGAATAAAACTTGTGTTTACTTCTACAATTAGTTCCAATACGGAAGGCAAAAGTCATGATCCACGAGGGGGAAGTTAAGGTCTTTATTTCTACCTCTATTCATGACGCAGAAGTGGGAAGTAGTTGAAAGGAATGTTTGCCTGCAAAAAAATAATCAGTATTTTGGTTGGAATAACCAATGGCAGTAAAGCAATTTTTAGCGGTGAAATTTAAACAAAAAAGGGAAGGAATTTGGCGCCATGGCGGCATATTTTAAAGGAGAGGAGGGATAATTTTGAAGCAGCCACGTCTGATGCTCAGGATAACACGAAGACGGTTGGTAAGAGTAGGGAAACACCTGCCCTCTCTCACATTTACATCCTAAAGGGCGGTAGGACCTTTGAATCTAGTGCCTAGTAGACGGTTCTCATCCCGTGCCAGACAGGCTGGGACAGAATGGACTGCCACTTGCTCGATCATGCATGAAGTGTTTGTGTTAGTGACTTTCACAATCGGTCGTCCATGCTGGCACGGTATCAGTAAATTTCTAACACTCCTTCTGATTAGTGCGTTGACGATCTACAACGAGAACGCCAAAGGAGCTTCTACTTCTCCACAGTCCTAGGCAGCATAGATAAACTGTCTTACCCAAGCTGAGGGTTCATTTGTGAATTCGAAGGGAAGTGTGGATTCCCATAGGCGGAGTGATACATAGTATCTTGATATAGTCCCATTTGAGAGAGAGGGTATTGCAATGACGGTGATCGAAGTGGGCGCAAATTTTGGGCCGGTGATTGCATTCGTAGCCTATCGTATTCAGCACGAAGGAAGCGGTTCTCCTCTTCCAGATTCATTAAAACCTATAAGAGGAGAAGATAAAAGAGCAAAAAATGAATGTAACCTAATAATTATAATGAAGAGTAGTGATTAGCAATCGCTCGTATGCTGCTACAATACTTCCACCTATTGACTTGGATGGGGCTTAAGCGGTCGCTGAAATGCCAATTAGTAGAATGTAGCCCTGAGAGGTCTAAATTTCTTTTATTAGAAAAACTATTCCGCAGAGACTCAAATTAAATACAATGCCTTAAATTAGCCCACAACTTACTTTGTCCAGTGAACCAGCGCTACCGGCAACCATGGGACCATCCCAACCACTGGGATTTCGATACCACCTTGCCTGAGTATTAAATGGTGGACCAGTGATATAGATGCCAGGACCAGGATGAGGTGGAGGCTGTGAGGAGGCACGAAATCCACTGTTTCCACGCAGCTGACTAGGTCTCATTGTAAAAAAGCGCGGTTCTGGAGGTCGCGACCTGTCGTAGGTGGTACTGCCATACAGCCATGGCGCTCCCAATGAGTGAACTGAGTCTTGAGGGCCATAGTATAGGAGGGGTTGACCACTGGGCATCATCGCTCCAGTCTGTTAATTTTAACAAAGAAATGCATTGACGAACCGTGCCATGGCTTTCATACTGTGCTAGCACCAACCCACATCTACTGTTTGTTAATAAGTAGTATGTTCTATCGCATCAGTTTACCATATTCTACTTTCAGTATAATACAAAGATCAAGTTTTTTTTTGAAAGAATTTTTACTGTCACATCCTACGACTTCTCTTACACTAAATATCGGATTTCAGCCCCATCTCTGAATTCTAATTTTCCTCGCCAAGGCTACCTTTCATGGGAAGAATTTACCTTTGTAGGCGACGTAAAAACGAGACGCCCATTAGACTAAGTAACACACTCTATAGTTCATTAGAAGGGAGGCATATTTAATCATCATATTTCTTGATGACCTATGAGGGCGATCTTACCGGAGTCAGCGATTGCTGCCGCCTCAGAGAATGACTGTACTGAGCAATTAACTCGTGCTCCTGATCCATTGATCCCCCTCTGCGTGGTCTGGCGTTCAGCCGAGGTGTCAAGGCGTCCACACCACTGGCAGAAGGCGTGGAGTAAAGCATGCGCTTTCTTGTTTCACCCAGCGACGCTGGTCGATTTGTAGACCAAATGGTTGGGGAGGAGTTTGTGTTCTGGTGTCCAGTGGAATTTTGCCTAATCGGTACAGCCCTTGGTGGTCTGACAAAAGCAGAGAAGCAGTAAAAAGTGAGCTGCAGCTGCAATAAGTTTCGTTTACTGATTTATTTTCGCATCGAAGGACAGACCTATAGAGGGAAGACCCCTTGATCACAGTCGCAGAGCGCATACCCAACTGTGAGGGCTCCCAATGACGCAGCAATATCCCACTTCTACCATTGATGGAGAAAAGACGAGATCTTACCCGCTCTAAAGATACCAGCACATACCACTGATTAATCTGACTAACCAGAAACCTTCACATGACACTTTGAGGGTGGAAGAAGAGGGATGGATAAGCGGAAGTGAAGTCAATCTTACTCCTCCATATTTCGATATTCTTAGTAGGAGTGCAACAATTTGCTCCTCCAACAAGCAAAAAATTGTCGATTTTCTCCTCTTCAAAAAATGAAGAAATCGGAAGGAAGGAATAAATGAGGTCTTGCAGCCCTAAGTCGGGCAAGAGATCCTGCTCCTCGCCCTTCACCAAACCTCCTACGGCGTGTTCTCTTACATACGATTTTCAAAAAAATTGACAGTAACTCACCGATCGCACAGAGTGGGAGTGGCTCTACCCACAGACTTGGGTGTGGCCGTTGCAGCAGTTGACTTGGACAAATCTTCGGCATTGAATGAGGACTGGCGAAACTTCTCCTTCGATCGGAAGCGGTTACGTACTACGCGACTAAAATCGCGTAGACTGTCGCTTCTTTGCAACTGAAGGAAGTGAATTCAAAAGGGCTAATAGTTTTGACACACAAAGTTAACGCCAACAAGTATGAGAAATGAAACTTAAAACTGTTTTACTGAGTTAATGACCCCGGTTCCAGACTACTAACTGAATAAAGGAGAGCTAAACAGGGTAGAAGTCCGTAAGGACTTACCGTGGTTGTGTACTCCTGTATGGGGTGAGTAATTTTGTGGCTTTTTCCGACTCGTCCAATGAGGAAGCAGTTTTGGCAAAGATCGAAGTTTAGACACCGCAGGCACCGGTATCTGCGACGAAAAATGCATGGGTATTTCGTGTTACCACAAACATCCTCCAATCATTATGACCAGCTGTGCGCAAAGTCAGTTGTCTACCCACTTTTTGCCAAAAGCACGCATTACTTTCCATGGTATAGGAGCGAGCACAAATTTTAGCCTATGACAGGTATATATGGCCATCTTACTCAAGTTTGAGTAACCTCATGGAGCTAACAACGTCAACGATTTACTTATGCGCTGGTTGGGTGGATAAAAGAAAGAGGACAAACACTTCCACATGATAAACAAGCAGTGAAGTCAAGTGATTGGCGACCAATGGCCTCAAATTTCAGTTGAATTATAAAGTTGCAAAAGGTACGGTGAAATAATAACATCGATCAAATGCATCCAGTAGCCAATACGATCTGAATAAGCCGGTGACTCACCTCAGGCCTCTGATTGGACAAGCCTGACAGACAGCACATCGAACCTGGTGAATAAGTTTTTCACCGGTTATCAGCCTATGCAACGCCGGTAGCCAGGCTATGATTGTTGGCTCCAACTTCAGCCACTCGTAGAACCGATCTAGCCCGACACTCGGTAGCAGCTCACTGTCATCCAGTCGAGAGACTGTAGAAATTTGACTGTCCAATGAGGGTGCGCGTATGATACTTCCGCTGGCAGACCTATGCTCATGGCCCCCTTTCATTTTGAGATTCTAGCATTCAATGGGGGAACGCATCATTAGTAATGGTTTTTAATGGAATTGCCTCAAGGTGTGCGCATTTGACAAGAGGAAAAGCAGAAATAGAGGAAATCTTCCACTTTCAAGACAACTTTGTCCTTTTACTACATCAGATTTGTATTGCATTGCTTTGGTGATGTGTGTCAAAGCGATGAGGTAAACTCACTGCTTGATTTTAAGGGTTCTTTTGTTGACAGTTGGCAGTGGCATTCAGTATGGGGGAAACAAGAGCTGTCAGTTGGGCTGGAGTATTCGTTTTCACTCCGTTGTATACGAAGAAGTTGTAGTTAATTAAATGGCCTTTAATGAAACACAAACTTAATCTTCTCAATACACCTCTTCCCTTTACTGTTGCTCTATTACCTCCCAAGTGTATGAGTTAGTCCTCCTGCATTGATAAGATTGTCAAGGTTCTAAGTAGGAGTATATTCTTTTCATATGGAGTGGGTAGAAGTGGAAGGTGATATCTAGGTAGAGAGGACATCTCTCACCCTCTCATTCATCCAAAGGTGTAGGATGAGACTATGAGGCAAATAAGCGCCTTCCGTTGTCCTGAAGGAGAGTTTTGACCTAGTTTCTCTACCTACCAATAGAGAGGAAGCTACTCATGTTCACCATTGCATTGTTGATGTCCTATGCATTTATTATCAAGCCTTGGATTCATCGTCACTATTCAAAATGGTCAGTGCTATGAGTAGATTGTTGGGAGAATGCCAAACTATGCTTGTTTGACGAGCGATAGACTACAAAGGACAAATCGCATCGCAAGTCATTTAGAAGACAACCTAACCAACAAAATTCCCATGTTTAATAATGTATGCTGATCCATTTCCTATCATTAATGTGCGCTGCACCCAAAAGTCCAGTTTCCTGAATACGCCGCATCCGCTTTAAGGGTTTTCCTTGGAAATCCTTAGGCTGCAAATAACAAGTTCCCCATCCCGCCACCACAATCCACTTCAAATAAGGCGAACCTTCTCCAATTAAGCACAATTTACAGAGCAAACAGGCATAAATCCTGTTTACTTTTACTTGACGGTAAAAAGGGTTTAACCAAGGTCACCCATGTGGGTCTCCAGTGGCGGTCGCTAAGGCAGCATGATGCCATAAAATGGAAGACTTGAATGAGTTGCCGATGCCGGTACTGTTATTTGTGCTAATGAACTAGTAAAAGTGCTTGTGCGGAAAAGTGTGTCCCTTTCTGAGTGGCATAAAGTGAATGAATGAGATGTGTACAATCGTCGGATGATCGATTTGCACATCTGTACCGCAGTGCCAAAAATGCTTAACTCGTTTAATTTGGGTTGAAAAAAGAAGTAAAATGGAACAGAATAGTTGAGAGAGGAGAATCGGAATTGGAAACAAAGATACCAAATAAAGACGCTTCTTTCGATGGGGAGGGTAAATTTAAGAGTTCCCTCCAAGCTAATACTGCAATTCGACGCTAGTTTCTTTTGCTTTGCCAAAAAGAAGTTGATACGATAAAAACCAATGAAAAGGTCAACAATTTGTACAATAGTTTAGAATTTAAAAAGATCTGATTGCATTATGTTTGAATGAACTAGAGGTGGAAAAGAAAGCTGCATCTATGCTTGTAACTACAGCAACCAAAAATGTGAAGTTTGAATGAATTTTATCAAAATTGCTATGTATGAAAAGAAGGGGAAAGACAAGAAAAGTCGGCATGTTTTCAACACATCACATTCTATGCTAGAAGGGTAGTTTTCTAGCAGACGTTCATCGGCCTAACACACACATACGAACACAACAGCTGCTATCTTCTACAAGAAAACTATTTATCTATTCATAGATTAGAGGTGTTATGTATTTAAGGGTAAATATGCAACGAACACGATGAATTTTTAGGACTAAAATAGACTCAGACAAGTAGTCGACTTGACGCTGCATAATTATGTCCGCCGACTGTTCTGTCATTCCTAAGTCAGCATCAGAAATGCATACGATGAAAAGCAACAAGTTTTCTTAAAACTTACTTTTTAATCTAAGAAAGGGAGAGAAGAGAGGTAAATTAATATGGGCGACCTCTTGGAGTCTCGCCTTATCCTTCTCATTCTCCCTCCTCCCCAGAATAATTACCTTTTTTCACCTACTTTGCAATATAAGAGATTCACCTTTTTAAAGCACATCAAAATGTTTGGGTCGAGGTTGCTGTTTGAGGTGTTGGAAACTGGAGCCTCGCCGAGCTGTCGAGGTAGTTGCATAATCTCATAAACAAGAAGCCATAGTCGTGAGTCGTTAATTTTGTTGTCACGATCCGCCACTAGACTGAACAAGTCTGAAGTATAAAAACAAGACATTGAGAACCTTTCCAAAAATACAATTAAAACATCGTCTTGCCTAGCTCCTCATGGCTAGTCTATTTGGAGTAGTTCAGCAGTCACAATGTTGACAGGGGAAGGGAGAGGGGTGGAGGAAATTTGAAACTCTTTTCTGCCCAACTGCGCATCTGTAAAGCATTTCTCAATTTTTGTCCTTGACGTAAAAAAATAGTTTTATTGGTTTCGAATTTTTTCTCATTCAATTTTCTCTAAAGAAAGGAATCGACAAAAGGAAAAGGCCTTTTCTCGTCTTTTTCTTCATTTTGCGGATAAAACTTCACACTCAGTAGCGCAGTATGATGATTTAGTAGCTAATAAAAGAATGGAGATTATGTTACACTAAAAA